ACTCACACTCGGTGTCGTTGTGGGTACGCTCGTTACTAAAGCTGCCCGGAGACTCTTCGAGTCATACTTCCAACCAGGCCACGATGAAGGACATGAAGAACCTGCTGGTCCCGTTGGACAGGTGCAGAGCTTTCATGAGACAGGTTCAGAAGCAGAGAGCGAGCCCAGAGTCCCAGCTGCTGGCTCAGAGAGCGCAGCGGTTTCACACACTGCTGTCGGAGAGGTCGGTGCCACAGTGCCATGCGTTAAAGGGCTCGGTGACAACGACGCAGAGCACAAACTGGGGACAGATGTTGTCGCCAGTCGTTGTAAGACCATTTGTAAGTTTCCAAATGGCTTCAGTAATTGCTGGATGAACGCAACGGTGCAAGCTGCGCTTCACCTGAGGGTTGTGCGGGAGAAATTAACGCACCGGCCCTCGGAGGCCTTAATAACGCTGTCAGCCACACCGACGTTTGCGGGGCTGTTTTTAACAGCCCTGAAAAACCCAGGCAGGCTGTTCCGACGAACAGAAGTGCACAGTGCTCTGGTAGAACTCAGCGCGGCTCAGCCACCGTTACGTCTGTACCAGACGAACGATCCGCTGGATTTACTGGCTGCCTTATTGCTCTGGTTCGACACATGTGGGGTGCAAACGACGACCCAGTTAATAGAGAAGGAATGGTGTGGAGAGTGTAGGACCACTACCCGTACCACCTCCACCCTGGGTACTGTTCTTTTTTTACCACAACGCAGTGCGCACGCCACCACCTTCTCGCTTCTTAACCTGGCTTTCAGTCCAAGAAAAGGACTGCAATGTGCGGCATGTGGTTCCGACGTAGAGATAGAAAACTTGTGGAACAGCCCTGATATTCTCACACTCTACTTATCTCGAGCATCCCCTGATGGATCAGTACTCAGAGACCCCGTCACTCCGTCTAGGTTTGTAGAGCTCCCTGTGAGTGGAGAGCAGACACAGCTCTACAGCCTGTCCTCCGCCATCTGCCACAGCCACACCGCCAGCAGCGGCCACCTTTGCTCATATCTGTTCTATGACGATAATATGACCATCAGGGCGGACGACCTTTACATTTCAGCATCAGGGGGCAGACCAAATGACCTGCTGGGTCAAGGGATAGTCTACCACTATGAAAAGGTGCACAGAGACCTGGAATAGTGCCACAAAGACAAAACAAAGTAGTCTCACATCAGATAGACACAACATTACTTGAAACTGCGCCATTCGTTTCAACATGCAGCTACATATTACCACCCGTTCTCATTCCCAACTCGTCGAAGACTGACTATTGTCTCTTTCCTTTGGCGTCCCATACAGCCGCATATAGTACCCATCAGCGGCTGTATGGGACGCACCGGGCTTTCTATTGACTCTAATGTAAACCCATCAGCAGCCTCCGCAGGCGCTTATAGACGCTCTTACGACGAAACTTCCATCACTACAATACTTAAACCTGATTCACAGAATCCATGGTTCAACCATTATTAGGGAGCAAAAATTATTAAACGGGTGGGCAAGTCGTAGTGGTTAGTTATGTTACGCTGCAGCAGATTCAGACACTCTAGCACTGCTCAAATTAGCCGAAGGCGACGGAGAGGGCATATGAAGGCCTCCTCCAGGTGGACACGACATGAGGCAAGGAGGGTTCTTAATGTAAGGAGGTACAGGGCCGTTGGTAGTGGCGTGAGAACGGGGTTAAAGAGATAACGATAAAATAAGATTAACACAAAAATAGATGGCGTGTCATGCGAGTTGTTCGGGATCATTCTTTGGTAGGCTAGTAACCAAGGTGGGCAGTGTGACGGTGTGTTGTTGGGTAGTGTAACAGCTAGACGACGATTGGTACAGTTTGATTGGAAAAATCCTGTAATTAAATTGTGTTTTGTAATCATGAAACATCATGGATTACTAAAACAGCCGTTCACAGCAGATAAACAGGCCAACAAACAGCCTTTCATGCTGCTATTCACGAATGAGTACATTAAGTGTAATTATGGTAATTATGACAAGCTCACAGGTGTATATATAGGGCATTCTTGGTTTTCGGTTGGGCAAGCTTTTCAAAGTTTCATTGCCGAGGGCGGTGCTAGAAGGAGGCGGTTCGGCTGGTATTCGGTGCGGGAAACATACATTTCCGTCTAGGCGTGGTATGTTTACAGCGTAGGCAAAGTAGATGGTAATGGGTCGGGGCATCTGAGCTGGTAGAACATG